TTCCCTGGGTTAAACTCCAAAGGAGTCAACGTGCAACAATAATCATTGCTTTAAACCTGCAAGTGGCGGCATATCCTATGGAGACTAACGGATATTCAAGTTTCAAGCTTAATAAGATGCAAACAGTGATTGCTTTAAACCTGCAAGGTTCTTAAAAAAAAGTGAACATCTTTTTAACTATCTAATATATTTTTTAAGGGAATTGGAGAGAGGTAACATTTTTCTCTTAGTTTATCGTCAACAACAATCCAGGCATAGTTGTTTTTTTCTATTGGAGACTAATGGATTAAGAATCGCATGATGAAAGAACTAACAGGAGAGGATTCATACCTTGTGAACGTCGTTGGTACCGGCGTCGACCGGCGAGGCAGTCGGAAGACGTGAACAGCGACGTTTAAGGCGGCGATGGCTAGGGTTGAAGGCATGAGCGCCAGAGGAGAGAATTGAGACGAACACGATACAATAACTGGACTCTTCGTTTACTAATTTTGATTTGTTAATCTTTTTTTAATAATAATGATGATTTGGCAAAATAATATCCACCCAATATATTTTTAAATTATTATTTGCCAACTCATAGGAAATTACCTCTTACTTGCTTAGCAGGTTAACCAATCCTTTGAATAAACAAAAAATTTGATGCAAACCCTTAAATAACAATTTTGAAAGTTGATTCTTCAAAATAGGAATTAGACGAACATTGGTTCCATTTTGATACAATTTTCCCTATTTGTTATTTTTTATATCCGAGTGAATTACATTAATTATTCCTATCGTATGCTTAAATTTTGAATTTGTTTCTTAAAACAAACTATGTACATTAATGGTCCTAACTTTCATAACACTTAGGGTGCGTTTATTGTCCAGACAGAACAAAACAGTTGTTCAGCACGTGGTAAGACAGAACTTAACATAACAGAACAACTAAAATGATCAATTTACTCCCAATGAGTTGTTTATATATTTTGATTAATTTTTGTAATTTATGAAATTATAACAAAATAATTATTTTATTAACAATATATATCATTAAAAATTTGTCAAAAAACAATTAAAATGACACAAAAATAAAAAGTTTATGTAGTTTCGAATTTTTATTTTATCTCTTTTCTACATTATTTATTATTATTAATATATAATGAATTACATAAGTTAAAAAAAACCATATAAAATTAATATTTTGGAAACTAATATATTAAAAGTTTAAAAAAATAAAATAAATCTAAAAAAATATAAAAAATATACATATTTAATATTTTAAAAGAGAATTAAGCTTTTAAAGTAAATTACAAATTTGGTCCCTATGATTATATGAAAATCATGGATCAAGTTACCCAACCAAAGTAATTACAACCATGGTCATGGTGATGATGGTTTTATTTTTGTTATTATATGGTTCCCTTCCCCTAACTTTATTAACCTAAACAAGAGTGTTTTAGTAATTTGATATTTTATCCATTTGAATTAAAAATTTAAAAATTTAGGAAGTGTTTGGGATTACTTATAAAAACAACTTATTGACTTATTTCAGTGTGACACCAGTAATAAGTACTTTTGAGAGTTTGGATAAACAACTTATATCGGTGTCAAACAGGTAACAAGGAGTTTTTGAAGAAGTTAAACCCTTCTGACTTATAATAAGTTGATAAGTACTTTTGTAGAAAAACATAAGTTGTTTCAAATAAGCAATCCTAAACACCCCTTTAATCTCCTAATGGTTGACCTCCCCCCAAACGCCGACAACCTCCCTCTTTTAGCTTCCATTTTCGGCGAATTCTAGCACACCCATCGAACCCTGAACTGAACGAAGTTCCGATTACGTTGACGAAGAAATATAAAGAAGAAATTAAGCTTCATATTCCCTTTTATGAAGGAATGGAAAGAAGAAAAGAATCTATTAGAGTGGTTTGAAGTAAAGGAAGCTCCAGATCCAGATTTCATTGATGAAGGAATCGAAAGGATAAAAGGAATTGACGAATGATTCGGTTGATGGAGGAATCGAAAAAAGAAAAGGAATTGACGAATCGTTTGAAGCTCCAGATGTTGTTGATGAGAAAGGATGGAACTGTAGATTCTATTGATGAAGGGGAACAGACATGCTTCAAAGATCAAGATTCAGTTGCAGAAGGAACACCATAAACAAGGGTCATCAAGATCTGGTTGAGATGTTGAAGACAAGATACGTAATGAAATCCATGAATTACGAAAACAAACCTTAAAATTAAGAATTACAAAATTATTCCAAATCCTTTTTTACCTTAATATCCGACCATTGCATAGCCATTTACTCCAAATGCAAATACAACTAACTCTATTTTGTTTCGGTATCAAATCCAAAATTTCAATAACTCTACTTTATTTTGAGTTATATTGTTAAATATAAGTCTGTTCCACCTTGTTCCATCATGTTAAATGGGGTAGGGCTGAAAGGCTTGTTCCACATAAGTCTTCTCAAACGTGGAACAAGATCTTTGTTCTATAATGTTATGTATAGTGTACCAAACACACTCTTATAAGTTCTCTAGAGTCAACACTGTTAATTAGCAACCGCTAGAAAGACAAATCAATCTTTAGGCAAATTACAGGGATCAAAATGTAATTCACTCTGAAATTAATCGTGATTCACGTATTTAAAATATTTATTACAAATATTTGAAGTAAGGTTAAAAATTATATACTAAAATCCGTTTGTTATGATACATAATTTTTTTGTTATGAAAAAAATAATTATATTTTAAAAGTTAAAATATTATGAAAAACTATTAAACCGAATTGTTAAATAATTATGAATAAGCTACAACACTTGAACTGATATTAGAATTAAAACAAATTAACGGTTTTAAAAATATTTTTAATAGATAAATTTAAAAAGAAACATGTGAATCACAGTTAATTTTAGAGTGATTTACATTTTGGTTCTTGTAATTTTCCCAAATACTGGTTTGTCATTTCTAAGGGTTGCTAACTAATGATGTTAACTTCAAAGACCTTGAGTTTTATAAAATCGAAAAGTTAGAGACCATCGGTTTACATATTTGTTTTGGGGACCAAATCGGGAATTCAAGCATACAATAGAGACAACCAGTGTAATTCACTCTTTATATTCTTATCATTGAGTCGCCAAAAAACAAATATAAAATTTTTAAAATTTTTTATATTTTTTTTGTAATTTATATAAAATATTAAAGTTTATTTAAAAAATATAACGACTTAAAAATGTTTTATTATGTCAACTAGTTTATCATCTAATCTACAAAACAGTTCAGTTAAAAGTATTGTTAAATTTACCTCTCTTACGGGTAGAATCAAGTCAAGTCATGCACTGAAAATTTAATAGGTAGAGATGTATTTAACAATACATAAACCTATTTAATTAATCAGATACCAACTAAATTATCAATTGACCACTAAGTATCATCTATCAATTAGATGACGAATCATCGTGTAAGAATGAAAGTTGAGTTTAAAAGAAATCTGCATTATGGATCATTGATTACTTTTAATCTCAACTTACCCCGTGAATTGTACTTCTTACAAAAATCTCAACTTAAGAAAAGCTAGTAGTGTACCCGTGCAATGTGGCGGGAACCGTGAATTTTAACGATTTTGAAGTTTTACTGGTTTTATTAGAGAAAATTTAACAATGTTATAAGTTACACTTGGTCTTTACATATTAATGCAATTTGAATAAATAAGAGTTATGGTTTCAATTACAGTCTATCGATGAAAAAAAATTGTATGACAGTTTAAAATCTAATATATTTAAAATCCAACATATTTAAACGACTCCACAAATATATTCGATTTACACCAAGAGCAAAAAATCAAGAGATTGAGAGCAAGAGCGAGAGTTCTAGAGCAATTAAATGTGAGATGAATGAGATGACTTTTAATAACTCATGGTGAATATCAGTTTGCATCTCACCTTGGGGGGATAGGGAGAAGACAGAGAGCGATAGAGGTATGAAAGGATGAAAAGTGTCAAAAGTATCGTGAGAACATGAAAAAAAAAATATAATAATATGCATCGGTAACTTGTACCATATGTTATTTTAATTATAGATTAAGGGTGCGTTTGGTTTGCGGGATTGGAATGGATTTGGGGGGATTTAGATTTGAAATCCATTCCAATCATGTGTTTGGTTTGTAGGAATGGTAGGATTTCAAATCCAATGATTCATTTAAAATCCCGTGAACCATGGATTTCAAAATCCTTTGAAAATACATGGGATTTCAAAATCCCATCCCCGTGGGATTTCATCTTCTCCATCTTCTCCCATCGATTGCTTCACCCATCGCTTCCCTCCCATACGCCTCCCGCTTCCTTCACCCATCGCTTCCCTCCCATCGATTGCTTCACCCACGCCTCCCGCTTCCTTCCCGTCGCGTCCCTTGTGAAGCTGTGCCCTAGGTTTGCCTCCTCACCGGTGCTGTCTTCCTCGCCGGTGCTGTCTTCCTCGCCGGTGCTGTCTTCCTTCCCGTCGCGTCCCTTGCGAAGCTGTGCCCTAGGTTTGCCTCCTCGCCGGTGCTGTCTTCCTCGCCGGTGCTGTCTTCCTTCCTGTTTGCCGACGTATCCCATGACTCAGCAGGTAATCGATTAACCCCTTTTCTATAGCATTAGAAATGCTCGATTATGGTCTGCTTGAATAGAAAATGCACAAGGGTTCTGCCCTAATTTCCTGTAATCAAATCCAAATCCTGCAAACCAAACACAGGAATGGATTTTAAATCCAATCCAATCCAAATTCAATGGAATCCAAATCCCTCCAGGAATCCAAATCCCTCAGAAACATTCCCGCAAACCAAACGCACCCTAAGAGATTTCAAAACTAAATACATAAAATAATAATAATACTTAATACATTATAAGTTGTTTTTAGATATTTAATATTTTATATATAAATATATGGTACTTTATAAATTAAAAATTATTTTTTAAAGATTTTTAATAAATCTGATTTCTAAAGTAGCTTAATATATTGATATTTCCAAGAGGAAGTAGTGAAAAGCGTGGGAAGATAGATAGAGAATTGAAAGGGTGATGGAGATTCTGGGTTTCGGTGGTTCCATCTTCAACCCCATCCCCATTTCTTCTAACCACCTCCCTTCCTCTGCTTCTCCTTCTGTTCTGCCATCTCATCTACTTACAAAACGAAGAGCAATTATCTTCACGACGGTGGTTTCGTTTCTTCAATTATCTCCAAAATCACCGTTTCAATCTGCAATTGCCCAACAACTGGATGAAACGCAGCAGGACGAAGATCGTGTTGTTCGTCTCTTTGAGGTTTTTCTTTACTCTATTCCCTTCTGCTTTAAGGGATTTTAACAGAGTTCGTTCTCTTTTCTGTGATTTGGGGTTTTTGGAATTTTAGCTTCACGAATTTTCAATCCTACTCCTTCAGTTCTTTGAGAATTGCATGTTTGAGTGTTTGATTGTTGGCTTCGTGTAGTGATTCCAACAATATTTTGGGAATTTTGGAGGTAAGTAAGTAGTTTCCATGGCACATCTTGAAATGAAGTTATTGGAGGAGGCCAGGAGGGTGTAATAATTATGTTTGGCTTTTCAAAGTCAACAAATAATGATCAGTTTTATCTGGAAGGGTGTCCTGAGGCTATGCCTTGCCACCACCTCAGATACACTCACTGACCATAATTGTTGTGGACTTCTAGAATTGAACCTACGCGCTCATACAATGGATCTTTGGAGGTCAATAGTGGAATCTTTTACTTGTATGGATTGCTTTACTTATTAGTTTTAGGGGCTGTTTGAAAACTGACTGTTTGATAGGTGTTCTGAATGGATGGTTTGAATGACAGAAAATTACCATTTTATGTTGAATTTTTGATTGTTGTGTTTTTGTTTGATCTAGAGCTTGAATAAAAATAATGTTATGTTAAATCATAGAGAGGGTTATCAAACAATCATAATATGTTCGGTATTAAATCATACAAAGGGTTAAAATCATAATTTTTGTCCTTCAAAACACTTACCAAGCAATCATTTTTCGTTATGCATTACATCATGCTTAGTATCTTAATTATTCTAACCACTTAATCATTATGGACCAAATATCATTCAACATTTGTCAAACAAGGTTAGGTTTCGGTGACAAAGAGAGTTCAGGTGAGAAGCGTAGGAAAGGATCTCCACCCTTAGATGCACATTAGGATGAGATGCATCGAATCAATCCCCGTATCAAGCGTGATTCATGGATAGGTTTGAGATTAAAGGTGATCAAAGGTCCTTTCTTACGCTTTTCATCTAAACTCTCTTTCTCACACGATCCTTCGCCTTGTCAAACAACCCCTTATTTATCTTTCACACAAATAGTTGCTCTACCTTTTGGAATAAAGGACAAGTATTCTTTCATCCCAACCTTAAAAACCTATCTTCGAGTGGAATATACTGGGTTGGTTTTTTATCATTCATTACATGGCAGTTTCATATTGATTTTCGAGTTCAAATATGAGAATGTTCTACCTTCAAAAGTCAAACATGGACAATTTAATGGTGTTTGTATATAATGCTCTCAAGAGAGATCAAGATGCATCTCAAATCACCAAATTCTTTACCTTTCCTCTTGTACTTGTTGGAAACAACTGCTCAACTCTTTGGGTAGATGACAAATCTACATACATCTCATCCCCTCAACTATTTAGATAAACGACAGAGCTGCATACATCCTATCCCTCATACTGTACTTTCGATTGGGATATACTGCATCCCTTTGGTTTGGTTTTTTGTACTTGTACATGTAACTTGCCAACTTTCTTTTAAAGGATATTTGCATTATGAGCATTGCAAAGATATATGAACTTGTTGACCATTCATTCTTTTGGGTTCCATATTGAAAACAATCATGGTTTCGATATTATGCATTGTGTCAATTGACTGCATGATGGAGTTTTTTGAGTCTATGATGTTATACATGTGAACCATGAGTCGTTATTTACGATTCATTCTTTACAACGTTCTTGAAACTACTTAAATATATGGTAAAATCCATATCAACCGTCATTGCACAAAACTCTGTAGCAAGCACCCAATGAAGAAGTGCTAAAGTGCATGTCTTAAACCACAATTTGAGCAACACTATTTGGTATCAAATATGTTATTTAGTACAATTTGAGTTATTTCTCCAGGCCATCTGATGAATTTGAAATCATGCTACTAACATTCATTCATGGGATGGTTGTAGGAAACATCACCATCTGTGGTTTTCATCAAAGATCTTGAGATCGTCAATAACCCTAAAAGCTCTGATGAGGTTGTGATGGTAGATGATGAGAAAGCAATAGTTGAAGGAACGGGTTCAGGCTTTATTTGGGATAAGTTCGGTCACATTGTATGATCTTGTTCTATTGCTATATTTCATTTTGATACAGGAGTCAAACATATCTACATAGAAACGCTTCTTTTGTGGGTCCTGTCTCAATTTCTCCTCCACATAAACACCATACGAACACCAGATAGCGTAAATGAATTGGGTTATTCAGGAGAACAACTTTCTGACTTATTTTTTTAATTGCACGACCTTCTAACAGATTTTGAGTCATTCTTGTGTTATAAAGGGGCATTTTGGTAAGCAGAGATGTTCTTAAATCCGTCAGACGGTCATGCATTTAAAAGAATCTGTCAGAAAATTATTCTCTTGACTAACCCCTAGATGAAATAGGATCTTAGTAGGTTCCGTATTATGGTAAAAACCTCCAATGCTTTCTTGTATGAATATCTAAAGTAAGCAATTGTTTTTTACGGATATAACAAATTGTACATTTTACTTACATGCTATAAATGTATGGCAGGTGACAAATTATCACGTTGTTGAAAAGTTGGCTACGGATCAAAATGGGCGACAACGTTGTAAGGTTCTGATACTAGTCTATTTCATTGATAGATGTATCATAATAAAGCCGTTGGGTTGGTTCTACTTTGTACCAAATTATACCTTAATAAATTCTGCTGGTTGTTTCTCATACAGGTATTCCTAGTCGACAAAACTGGCAACAGTTTATCTAGAGATGCGAAGATTATTGGTGTTGATCCATCGTATGATTTGGCTGTCCTAAAGGTGGGTAAGAAACAGACGATAGTAAAAGTAGAAAACAAACAGTCACTAAATGTATGCAAGAAAAGAAAACGTAAGCATGCTTTGATTCTAATAGCAGCAAAGCTACTACTTTGTGAGTTGAGACCGAACGTTCAGAGACTATATATGAGCCATGGAACGGTCTCCTTCCAAAACGCGAAGGAAATTTTGAGTAGAAAGACTTCTTCCCTCTTTAACCCTTGCAAAGTTGAGTGACTTAACCAAAGGGCCTTTGGCCTAGGGGTATCCGGGTTACCGTTAGAGCCCAGCCTCCTAGGAGGCCAAGGGTTTAAACATCACCAAAGGTGACGAGGGTGTGTGAGTTCATTTGTCGTATATAAATATCAGATACTTCAAAAGAAAGTTACTGCCTTAGTGCAACCTGGGCGTCTTTATACTTGTTACTTTGTTCGGATATGTGGAACCCCTTTGAATTCTTTCTAAAAGATCCATTATAGGAGGGGATTCCAACAATACAGGTTTGATGGTCCGGGTGTGGCTGATGTGGGATCAACAATACTGATTCTCAAATCATGTTTGGCATCAGTTTCCATTACATTTTCTGTCCCTTGGTTGATGATTTATTCATACTCGTTTTTGCAGGTTGATGTTGAAGGGATTGAAGTAAAGCCGGTAAGTATAGGCAGCGCTCGTAGACTAAACGTGGGGCAGAGCTGTTATGCTATTGGGAATCCTTATGGATATGAGAACACATTAACCACCGGGGTAAGACTTCCAAATCTTATAGCAACTATCCTCTCATGCACATAAACCAAACCAAACGAGTCTGGTATATCCCACATGGAAATGGGATTTGGGGGATTGGGATGTAGCCGACCTGTCCTCTATCCCACATAGTAGAGCGGCTATTTTGCACATGCGCACCTCAAATTATTCCTCAATGGCTTCAAAAGCTGTGGGATGCTTGAGGAATTTAATATTGTTGGAGACTTGGAGTCCTATATCTGCTAAACTTGAACCATTTTTCTTCGATATATGTTGAAACCTCTCTTCTCTCCTAAATGGGTTCTCCACATTCCAACATGGTATCAGAGCAAAGATCTACCACTTTAAGGACTCTACACTTTGGCACGATATGTGTCCATCTTGCCTAAGTTGGATTGGAGGTGGAGGGGGAAGGGGAGGGGGAGGGGAGTCCCACATGAGCTAGACTTGGACCATTTATCCTCGATATATGTTGGAACCTCACTTCTCTCCAGAAGGACTGTTTTCGAAAGTAATCTAATGGGTTTCCACATAATCTCGTAAATACAACATTGCCCAAAAGACTACAAAATTCCTTTAATCTAGCAACATATAAGATCCATTAGTGAGTTGCCATGGAAACCTTACATAAACATAGAACCGTGGCAGGTAGTCAGTGGGCTAGGAAGGGAGATACCTTCACCAAATGGAGGTGCCATCAGAGGAGCCATTCAAACGGATGCAGCTATTAATTCAGGTAAATTCCAGAATCTAGACCAATAGTACTACAAAATTTTGTGAAATTTGTACGGTGGTGTAAACGATATTTTTATGAAATTTTTGGTGTATTTCTGTTCTGTAGGAAATTCGGGTGGACCCTTGCTTGATTCCCATGGCCAAGTTATTGGTGTTAATACTGCAACTTTCACTCGAAAAGGTATATAATTTGCTTTCCTTTGAGTTAAATTATACATCCAAGTGTACGTGAACGAGATTGGACAAGACTAAACAGGCGAGAGTGAGTAGATAGGTGAAAGAATTGTGGATGGTTTTAGGGTTTTAATTTGATATGAGTAGTTTAGTAATTTATCAATCTTGTTTCATATTAGCTGAGTCTAATTTTTGTGTCAATCGTGGGACAACAAGTTCTTGTTCTGTTATGTCACATCTTGTCCCATGTATCAAATGCATAATAGATGATGAAAATTGTTGCAGGGTCAGGGACGTCATCTGGGGTTAACTTTGCGATACCAATCGATACGGTCATGCAGACCATACCTTACTTGATCGTTTATGGGACTGCTTACCGGGATAGGTTTTGATGGTTGGTCTACTCGGTGGAACAAAGTTTACCTTAGCCGATGTTTATTGTAAACGGAAACTCTTTCATAATATTCTCATGTTGATATCGATGTTTGTATTGTATCTATCGTCATTCTTTATGAATTTCTTCAACGGGTTGATATCAATCTTTAAGATGTTGATTAGCAGGGAGAATTTCATATCCAACAGTTTTTGTTCACCTAAAGATATGGATACAAATGCAGCTAACCATGAAATTGAAGTAAACAAAACCTAATTGGCCGGTTTGGTTTATTTGGTTTCGCATTGGTTTAACATCGTTGTATGACTTCACTCTTTGGAGTGCCTCCACCGTACCTGTCCCACAATCATCATCAAGATAGGTTGGTGTGGAAGAAAAAATTAAAATCACCAAAAAAATTACATTTAACTCCAACAATTCTCCATTTTAAGGATATCAAAGAAGCGTCGTCAACAAATTACATTCAGCTGTTTCTATAATCCTATCAAAGAAGCATAGTCAACAAGAAAAAGAAAACATCTGAATCGAGTGTTAGGAAACTTACTTTTGCACCTGAAGGGAGAGTAGTGAGAGTTGTTCATCGATCGAGCAATCAACGTGACAAGATGTTCTGCAGGACGAAGGAATTAATATGAGACCAAGACCCCTCTGTTCCATTGGGGAAGGAGAAGATCTTCGGGTACTACGATACTCGACAGCATCTTGAAGAATGATGTTTCCTTGTTTGTCCATGCAGTAAAATGCGCCCATGAAAAAACGCCCATCGTTTACCCCCACCAGCATTCGCCTAAATAACAGTTTTTTGACATGAGAAATCTTTGATTTGTTGTCTCCAATAGATGTTTGATCTGGTGCTTGCATTGCATTCTCCATTTCTAACAAACAATCCTACATAAAACAACCCTTTAAATTTACAAATCAAATGAATTCGATATATCCCACACAAAGGTAGGGTCCAAGGGGTCTTCACATAAGCAACCATTCTAATATTTGGATGGAGGTCAGGTTTGCCTACATCTCATCCTCCCGGACCCCACCTTTGGGTGGGATATACTGGGTTTGTTTGGTTTGGTTTGGAGGTGAGGTCTAGCAATCCTTACCTCTACCCGAAAGGGTAGAGAGGCGGTTTCCGTGAAAACCCACGGCTTGCGAAACAAATAATAATAGGAAACAAGTACGGGAAGTAGCAGAGAAGCAACAACCCAAAAAGTTTAAATATCTCGAACAAAATGACATCACATTTTTATGTCTTTGGTCCTCACTCATGTTGTTGTGACGTGCACCTGTTCCATTCTGTTTTTCAGATATCAAGAATCAAGAACAGTCCATAACAAGTGAAGCAAGTAAGTCACCAATCTGTTCTCAATTAACCTTTTTTACTTGCGTTGATATCCACCAAACCACATGATCAACGATTGGGATTTGGATGACATTCGATCCATATGGCATTATGGGAACACCGATCCTGATATTTTGTGTTCTGCCATAGATTATTGTACACTATGAAGTTCTACTTCTTATCTTTATGACCTTAATGTCCAAAACAGGAAGATACATCTTGTGTAGCATCTATCTCTCAGCACCATAAGCTTATTGCACACAAAAATATCTCGTGTGGTTCATATGGCTCATACGTAAGTTATGTACAGTAATCCCTCATTGGTTTGGTTCTGAAATCGTTCTGAGTGATCTTTCTTAACAACCAGATGCCATTTTCAACCCTCTACTCTGCTTTTTTCTGCTCTCCAAAATTATTGTTTCAGACTTGTTATTTATTTTACCATACCATCAATTCTAAACAACCAACAGACAAAACCCCCAAAAGAAACCAAAAAAAGCAGCAAGTTTCCTTTGATTGTGTCTATTATTTCTACAGGCTTCCTAGAATCGGGCCAAATAACGCTACAAACTTTACTATGTCAATGTGTAGCAAGTGTAAAAGAAATAATAAAACTCTACATTGCGCATTTGCGCTGAATTCAAAAACTTGAACAAAAACAAAGACCCATCATTCCTAACTTTACAATGACACTTCACGACGACAATAATGGCGTATCTCATGAAAACCACTCACTGAATGATTTTGAAGAATCAATGAACAAGAGAAAAAATTATTTTTAAACAGGAACACCAAAGACCAACCTAACATAGGGCTACGAGGAGTAAACGGAAAAGATAAATGTAAAGCCATAAAGAAAGTGACGAATAATACATACAAACAAAACCCATTTCTTCACTTAGGCATATAATCATACAGCTAATGTGATTCTACAAATTCTATATAACAAGAATCCAGATTATTGCATGGATTTCAGGATGTATATGGAAAGTCAATTAAAGCATCAAAATGTTAATGAGAGAAGAGCATATCACCTTAAACCAAATTAATTGAATAAGGGTAGAGAAATTAAAATACTTTTGCTTTACTTCCACCAATTTTGAATGGCATTCACATCAATTTCAATTCTCTCAATCAAACACGAAAGTTGATTCAGTTGGCCTTGAACATGATTTGGGGGAAGTCAATCAAGATTCTCTTTTATGTTGAGCTTGCTCCTTAACTGTGTATAGCACATGGACTGGACTGCACATGATTAGTTGTTTATATATTGTTTGGTAAGACTCGTAAAGTCAAGATGAAATGTTAAAATGACGGGATTATCCCAAGATTGTTGTTTAATGTCTTTTTTACCTTATCAGGTTTTTTCATTTCTGAACCTATTGATGTTGCCTACTCATCTCATCTTCACAAATCACAATTATATACTCTCCTTCTAGCATGTGTTGGTCTTTTTCCTTGTCAATTGCATGAAAAAGCTTATTTACTTTGAATAAAGATGCTAAGATTTATTTCTTTTCCTTTTTGTTTCACATTCATCTTGATTTGAGCATGCACAACAGTTGCTTTCAGAATTTTCCAACACATCAGAGAATAGCAATCATCATCTAGAATAAGGCTTATATAAAATCAAAAGCATAACCAAAACAAAATCACAACAGATAAAAAAAAACCCTATCGATGCCTAAAATCATAAGCATAACAACTCCTAAAATTGAAAATAGCAGCAGATAACAATGCACTGCTCCTTTGGAAGTGAAGACCTAAAATACGAAATTGAACAAAGTACAAAACCAACAGATTAAAATCAATGTCTAACTAGAAAATACGAATATGTCAAAAAACCCTAATATCAACAAAAATGCCAAAACTTGATGCAAAACGATTGTCCGGATGATTAAGAGGCTCTATATGATTTAGTACAATGCAGAAAAAATTAATTGTTTGGTAACTGTGAATGACAAAAAGTTACAATTTTAACCCACTGTATGATTTAATGTTAAATGAAATACGAATGTTTGGTAAATGTTATAGATTATAAATTACCTTGCATATATATATAACTTTGCAAACATAAATTACTATTGCCACATTGCAAATTTATCAAACACAACTTTAAAACATCCTTTTTTGTTGATCGGCATGGAGAGGGACAAAATCACGAAGACAGGTCTGAAACATGCTGACAAATGACAACCACGGCTTCTGATAGATGTCATTGCATCTTCAAACTCATCTCGAGTGATTTATTTAGAATTCAATAAACTTAGGCTTGGTTTAAAAATTGATTCCAATGACAAAATTCCAACATTACAAGTGGAACCTAAACCATCATGTTAAGCCAATCCTCTTGTTTGATCATTCCTATAAAATGGGTGACTACCATCATGTACCATGCAAGAAATTCTATGGTTGTCTGCAAAAAGTTTGTAATAGCAAGTTAAGTCATCAGTGATCTGCAGACAATTCTCTTACATTTACAAACAATCTATGGTTATTGTCTTCACCAATTAAGCAGTATAATTTCCAAGATTTCATAGCAATTTTATATAGACAATAAATTTGTAACACCCACAAGGTATATAATACAAAGTCCTGCAGAAACCATAAAACTGAGCACAATGGGGGTAATCACAAACGAGCTTGAAGATGCAACAGCAGCAAAAAGAAAATCTCATTGAAAACTTTTATCAAACACTTGGTGGTCGAGAAAAGAACATGAACACAATAGAGGTAATAACAAACGAAGATAAGATCAAAGTGGGGTAATCAAACATCAAGACGGAGAGATGTTGAAATGAAATATGCATACTTCAAAAAAATCCAAAAGAAATCATACCCAAACACAAATTATTGTTTCCAAATACCACGTAAATCACACAAATCATTGTCTCAAACCTAGAATTAGATGAGTGTTCACATACCTACAATATTGATAGGAGTTACAGAGCCAACAGTAACGAGGAGAAAGAGAGATGGACCAGAAGACAACAGTTGTAAGAGATCGTATCGAGCAAATGGGGGAACATAACGCTTCTGAATGATATTGGCAGAGTGTTAAATTTTTACGAAACAGCGTAACCTCTGATTGATTAAGATTTGGGCTCTGGATGGTACCAATCAGAGCCAAACTGTGAACTGAATGGGTAGCCCAATGTTCAGCCAAACTTAACTAGCTGGGCCTATTAATCTATTTTTTTATATAAATTAAACAATTATTAAGGGGCTGTTTGTTTGGCTCTTAATGGTGATATTAAGAGCCAACCTCTTAATCGGTCAGAGGTTGATGTTGTTTGGCAAATAAAAAATGGCTCTTAATGGTTACAACTCTCTTCTTAACCATTTTGCATCTAAAGGGTCTCTAAACCATTCAGAGTTATCTTTTTCCATATTTGCCCTCTCCCCCAACGTTCCTCACACATCGCTCACAGCCCCTCCCCCCACACACAATCGCCAGTCTTCACTCTGTCGCGCTCGTCACTCTGTCGCCGCTCGTCACTCTGTCGCACGATCGCCGGTCTTCACTCTGTCGCCGGTCTTCACTCTTCAAATCCCTCCCCCCACACACGATCGCCGGTCTTCACTCTGTCGCCG